TATGGTGGGGGTACAGGCTTGGATCAAAGTTCAGCACATCATACTAAAATTATTGGATATGTAAAATAAGCCTAGTTTTATTTTTTTCATATTTTATAAGGTTATGTGTGTGTGGGATTTTTAAGCTATATATATTTTTTATATTTAATACTTAATTTTAGATATATTTTTTATTAAGCATACATTATTATAAAAGAAAAAAATTAAAATTCTTATCCAAATAATAATTTTTTTCGAGGCATTTCTAATGGATTTCTCCGGCATTAAATTCTTAATATTTTTTTTTAATTTTTTTATAACAAATGATTTTTTAATTATAAATTTTATAGTTTTTATTTTTTAAGGATCAAATCAAATTATTATTTTTTATATAAAGTCTTGTATGATGGTGTATATATTTACATATATGAGGGACTGTGGAACCTCAAGGGACTTAAAAACTACCTCCATAAGAAAAAAGTAACTCCATTGGAAAAGAAAAATATATCTCATTATATATGCGGAGGCTGCCCTACGAAGTTTCACTGTATATGATTTCCATTAGGATAGTTTTTTTTTATAAATTCCCAATTTCTTCTTATCTTCGGCTGTCTATGAATTTTTTTCTTCTTATTTGGGTCTACTTCTTGGCTAATATCCTAATAAGCTTATTAAATTATTTTCAAATTTTATTTTATTTTTTTTTTAATTTTTATTTACAATTTTAAAATATTTTTTTAATATAAAAAAGTAAACAAAAACTTCTTAATTTTTTTGTTATATACAAAAATAAACACAAATATTCCTAACGGGGTCCTATGTTATGCGGTATCATCTAAACCCTATATATATTAAGACAACATATTTGTTATTGTTGTAATTTTTTCTACTTCTTAAATTTTTTTATGACAGTAGTGATGAGATGTCTACCTTTGAACGGAGCAAAAAAAAAATAGAGGATGTCATCAGAACAGTCCTAAACCTGCACCAGAATAATATAAGAACATTTCCTAAAAAAAATAACTTCCATTCCTTCAAGTTGGGCGCCATATATAATTTTTTATTAAAAGCATACAACTCATCAGGGTGGATGACAAGAATAATTCTTAATAAGAAATTCCAACCCTTCAAGTTGGGCGTCTTGTAGAAATTATTTTTTTTTTTATTAAAAGCCTAAAACTCGTTATGTTGGGCGCCACGAAAAATTTATTTTTTAAGGAATAAATTAGAACTTTCATCGCTTCAAGTTGGGCCCCATGTAGAATATATATATATATTTCTTATTAAAGTTTAGAACTATTCAGGTTGGGCGCCAGGGAGACTTTCGAATTTTTAAATTGGGCGCCATGTAGAATTTATTTTTTTGAAAGCCAAACTACCTACGTTGCATACCGCGGAAAATCTCTTAAAAAATAGTAGAACCTTCATACTTCAACTTTAACTGTTATTGAAAGTTAACAACTATTCAGGTTGGGCGCCAAGTGGATTTTCAATTTTTATGAAAGTAATTTTTAACGTAACCGAACTTAGGAGTTATTATAAGCAGTCAGTTGAATTTCTACGACCCTCCTATTTATTCTGACTATCAATAATTTTCTGTTTTAATTTTTTGTTCACCTTTTTTCTCCTCCTTTTTTCTTTTCTTCCTTTCCATTGCACTCTGAGATCATAATTTAGTTTTGTTTGTTTTAATTTTTTTACTGTTGTCTAATATAAAGTTTTGCAGTACCTACATTTATAGCTTGAAATTTTACATCTTTTTTGTTTGCAGTGCCGTCGGAATTTGTATTTGAGCAGATTTGTTGTTTCGGTTGGTTTTTGTTGTCTTCATTGCCCTCTTTTGTTTGGCCTTTCTTCATCTTCAACACATTAATTTGCACCACCAAATAATACCGAATTTTTATAATATGCAGCAGCAGCTTGCCGTTCAGCCAGTGGGCTCTTTACATCACGATCAGCACCGGCGGAACGTGTCTTACGCTCCAATTCGATCTCCTGGGCAAGGGATTCTACAATGAAAAAAATAAAAGAAGGGGAAAGGGGAAATTAGAAATTTTTTTATAAGAAATAATAAGGATTTCTTAAAATATGCTTAAGAAAATCTACACCTTAGACCTAAGACCTTATTAGACTCCTCGAAATATTCTTAAAAATACTATGACCTTCTGAGGCTCTCAAAAAACTACGCCTTTTGAGACTTCTGAAAATATTCCAAAAAAAATATATTCCCTCTTGACGCCTAAAAATATTCTTTGAAACCTCTTCGCCATTTAGAAACCCCTAAAAATGTTCGTAAAAAACTTCGCATTTTAGGGGCCCCTAAAATATTCCTTAAAAACTCTACGCCTTTTATAGACTCCTAAAATATTCTTAAAAAAAGCTTCGCCTTTTCGGGACCCCTAAAAATATTCCTTAAAATCTCTACGCCTTTTATAGACTCCTAAAAATATTCTTTAAAACCTCTACTCCTTTTAGAAATCCCAAAAAATATTCCTTAAAAACTCTACGCCTTTTATAGACTCCTAAAAATAGCTTTTAAAAAATCTATGCCTTTTATAGGCTACTAAAAATATTCCTTAAAAATCTACGCATTTTATAGACTCCTAAAAATAGTTTTTAAAAAATCTATGCATTTTATAGACTCCTAAAAATATTCCTTAAAAAATCTAGGCCTCTATTCTCTTTCTACTCTCCGCTCCTTAAAATACTATAAAAAAGTCTATACAAGTTTCTGGCTCATAAAAATATCCCTTATATAATGTACTCCTTTTGGAAGCTGATAAAAAATATTCTTTAAAAAATCTACGATCTTTTAAAGGTCCTGAAATTACTATTAGAAAGTCTACACCCATTTGATAAATCGACGCCCTCATGAAACTCTTTAAAAAATCTACGCCTTTTAGAGGCTCCTGATATTCCTTAAAAAAATCTACACTGTTTAGATACTCCTAAAACTATTCTTTAAAAATTCTACGGCTTTTAGAGACCCCTAAAAATATCCTTTAAATATATATACGCTCGTTTGAGAATCTTGTAAAAAATCTTTAAATAAATCGACGCCCTTTAAAAAATCAAACGCTGAAAAATATAAGTAATGTTTTAGCTATTGCAAACTGTCTTGTAGCATACTTTTAGGCCACCACCTAACAGCTGATCGTATCGAACAGCTGATAAGGTCTTGAAAATATTGTTCAAAAATCTACGCCTTGTATCGGTGCTGAAAAAATATTCTTTAAAATCTACCTCTCGTTGGTCTTTGAAAAAATATTCTTTAAAAAATCTACGTCTTGTTGGTCTTTAAAAATCTACGCCTTTTATTGGTGCTGAAAAAATATTCTCTAGAAATCTACGTCTTGTTGGTCTTTGAAAAACTATTTTTTAAAAATCTGCACATTGCATTGGTCCATAAAAATATAATTTAAAAAATCTACTCTTAATGGTCCTATAAAAATGCTCTTTCAAAAACTACGCCTTGGTGGCCTTTGAAAACATTTTCTTCAAAAAATCTAAGCCTTGTTGGTCTTTGGACATTCTTAAAAAACTGAAAGCCCATAATAAACTTTACAATATATTTCTTTCAGGTGAGGCTTGGAAAAATACTAAAATCTATTCTAATCCTATGTTTGAACGTTCGTTTAGCCTACTTTTAGGCAGTCAACCAACAGCTGATCACCACGATCAGGTGATAATGTTGATCAGATGTTGGGTGCTTGTTTCAATCATAAACAAATATTTTAAGACTTGAAGGAAAAATCATTAAAAAATTTCGCCTCTTATAAGCCTTGAAAAATATTAAAAGTTCTTCTGAAGCAAATTTAAATATTTGGTATAGTCTACTATTAGACAATCAACAAACAGTTGATCAATGCGATCAGCTGTTGGGTGATCGTAATCGAGATTATATATATATATATATATATTGAATGACGTGTGTTACTCACCCGAATAATTCTGCCAAAAAGCTCCGGTAGCCATTAAATCAATACCGGGATAATTCCATTGACCCTTGCCGCCATTGGCAGCTGCGGCTGCTGCAGCGGCGGCAGCAACAGCCAAACTATTCTCGGCAGCATGCGATGAAGGTGGCCGATTACTATCACGATCCACCGAACGACGTTCATCCAAATCTTCTGAACGTTCAGTGAGATGTTCCGATGAAGAATGACGATCACTGTCCGAGGAGGCGGCAGCAGCTGCGGCGGCGGCTGCTGCTGCAGCAGCATGATGCAAATGTCTTAGTTGAGGTGGTAAATCTTCGGCACTACGTGATTCATGATCGGAATGGGGTTCACGTTTAAAACTTGGACTTTCCGAGAGGGTACGTAAATGTTGTGATGATGGTTGTTGTTGTGACTGCTGTTGCTGTTGATGGATGCGGCTATCATTGCTGTTATCGGCTGTGTGATGTAAATTATTGTTGTTGTTGGCGTTGGCGTTCGCGTTTGTGTTGTGGGAATTTAAAGAGGAGTTGGTTGATGATTTATCAGACTTTTCACTTTGTTTGCCATCCTGATCTATGAGGTTAAAGGGAAAGTAGAACAAGAAGAAGAAGAAATAGAGGACGCTGTGTTGGTTAAAACAGGAGTTGTAACAGAGAGAAACAAACAAAAAACAGTTAAACACGCATTTAGAGTGGGAGGGTAGCGTAACTTTAAGTTTGTTCTTCAGTTTTGATTTTTGAGGTTTTTTATATAGAAAACTAAAAACTACTGAGCTTTTGTTGTAAACTTAAAAAATTGAAAAAAAAAACTTTTTCGAGCTTCTTACCTTGCTCCGATTTCCTTGTCAAATCGGTTATACTGCCACTATGTTTGCTATGCATCGATGCTGAATCTATGGACCGGACATCCTCATTTATTGAGGCCGATCTCTCCACTGCCGATGAGTTGTTATTGCTGATGCTCATATTGTTGTTGTTGTTATTGTTGGCGGCGTTATTGCTGCCACCACTGGCATTGCTGTTAGCATTATTATTGTTATTGTTGCTGGCATTTGCTGTGGCATTGGGCGATTTACGTTTGCCGCCCTCCACTTGCTGCTGATAACGAATGCGCAATTTACGTTCACGTCTGTAGCGTTTTTGATATAAAACTGAAATTGAAAAGAGAGGAGACCAAACTTATGTTGAATGCAATTCGATACTTTTTTGACAAGAAAAAAAATTAAAAAAAAATCCATAAAGAAAGAAAACGTTTTTGAGGCTGGTCTGATTGTCGTATCGAAAGATAGAATAATCATGTTGCATGTTCGTCAATCACCGACGACGACAATCTATCATATTTCTGAAGTAATCGATAAAAACAATTCTTGTGATTTAGATATTTGTGATGTTTTTTTATTTTCTTTATGTTTTGCCAATTTAAAAATTTATCCGTTTGTGTGTTGTAAAAGACCAGCAAATCTGTGTGTGTGTGGCCAGATTTAGGGTCCATCTGTCATCCAATTTATTTTCTTGCGAATATTAAATTTGACAATATGTACCGTTATTTTTAAAGAATGTTATGCGGAGATATCAAATTTGTTAATACGGGTTTGAGATGAAGATTATGGAGACAAATACGAAGAGAGAGGAGCGTTTAGCAAATTGAATAATGAATTGAATATCATGAATTACTAAATATTGGGTCTTTATATTTTTAGGCGTAGATATTCCAAAAATTTATTTTTGGAATATCCACACTTCAGCTTTTAGACAAAGCCTTATAAGCCTTAAAAATATTTTTTAAATAATCTACAAATCTACGCCTCCGATAATCCTTAAAAACATATCATGCTCTATGCTCTTTATAAAGAAATTCATTTAAAAAAATCTACTCATTGTGGGACTTTAAATATACTCTTAGAAAAATCGACACTTCTTTAAAAAAATCTATGCCATTGACACGAAATCTAGGCCTCTAGTAAGCCTTAAAATAATATTGAAATTTCTACGCCTCCGATAATCCTTAATAATAGTTTATGCTATAAAAATATTTTTTTCTTCTCCTTTCACAGAAATAAAATATTTAAGAAAATCTTTAAAAATAGTCCCCAAATTTATTTTCCGTGAAGAAATATTCTTTTTTTAAATAGTGGGAGATTATTTTTTCTGGAAAAATATAGTTTTTTTTATACCCTACACAACTATGTTGTCAGGGTATATAGCTTTGTGCAGCGCCAAAAGTTTGTAACTCCGCGAAATATTACTCCTGGACCCACCTTTTGGTATACCGGTTATCATATCTCGACTAGCTGAGTCGATATAGACATGTGTGTCGTCCGTTCGTCTGTCCATTATCATTTGTAAACACCTTACAGGCCACAGTTATGGACCAATCTTCACGAAATTTTGCATGTAGGAAGGTTTAGGCCCAATGAAGACAACAAATATTTAATTTTTGTCGGTTTTTCTTGTCGCTCCAGAGGCCGCAATTATGGCCCGAACATCGCGAAATTCTACATGGAGAACGGGATCGGGCCCAAGAATATGAATGCCTGTTTTGATAAGGATTGGTCAATATTTAGCGGGTCAAATGAACCCTGACTTTTGCGTGAAAAATGACAAAATTTGTATTCTACAGCGTATATATTTACTCCTGAGGGACAAAGAGCCGAGAAGTTGATAGTATATGCAAGAGGAGTAGTTGGCCTTTAAATTGATACCAATTATATTGTCGTAATTACTCGGATGTGGGAGTTACACGTAAATATTTACAGGTGCTTACGTATTAATATATTATTATTTCCACACTAGAGGGCGGAAATATAGCGTTGATCGCTTTGAAATGTTCCATGAGGTTCCAGTTATGGTCAAGTATAATTTTCGATGATGATCAGATTATAATTTTGTGATGAAGTGGACCGAAAGCTTATTTTTTGTGTTTTTTTCCAATTCAATCTCTAAATTTTATAAAAAGTTTTTTTTTTAGAAAAACTACAATGCAACTTGTTATTAAACAAGTGAAAAAGCGTTAAGTTCGGCCGGGCCGAACTTTGGATACCCTCCACCATAGATATACTGACAGATACTTGAAATAAAGGGAACATACAAAAAAGTGTAACTATACCAACATTTCTACAAACTGATTATGGTTCTACATATTGGTCCTAGATCCCATGTTACTGTGGACCAAATTTGTTTCAAAAAATTTAGATTTCATCCAAACTTTGCCCATTTTATTATTTCTTCCAAAATTAGTTCAAGTTCGAACATGGGGAATATCGCTCCTTTCCTTCTGGTACCTCCCACACAGGGGCTAGCCCTAAATGCGGGTTATAATTCATATATATGAATTTATATATAAGGTTTATTATCGAACAGTATGTTCTAGTTTTTTCCACAGATGAAATGATTACAACAGAGCCTTAGGACCAAAACCAAACACGGAACAAATCATATAACTATTTTAATATAAAAAGGGGGTTATATGGAGACGACCCCAAAAAGGGGGCGAATACTAAAAATTTTTGGTAGGGAGATTTGTTACGGTATACGACTACAAAATACCAAACTACATCCAATTCGGTGGAAAAATACGATCAAAACCCCCAAAATATTGAAAATTAGGATGTACCGTTATATGGGGGCTACCAGAAAAAGTAGGCCTATATTCATAATTTTTTGTGGAGAAATTTAGTACCCAATAAGAACCCAATGTACCAAATTTGAGCGTATTCGGTTGAAAACGCTCTCAAGAACCCCAAAATACCGAAAATGGGGGGTACTGTTATATGGGAGCTATGCCTAAATGTGGATCTTCTCCATTCCTTCAGAAGATAGCGTGATTACAACAGGCGGACGGACATGGCTAGATCGTCTTAGAATTTTAATCTGATCAAGAATATATATTCTTTATAGTGTCGGAAATGAATATTTCGATGAGTTACAAACGGGATGACAAAATTAATATACCCTCCACTACTACTATGGTGGAGGGTATAAAAATATGTGTTTTGAATCCTTTAAAAAAAGTGTTATTTAAAAAATACCTGCTTATGTTAACCATTGACAAATAAAACCTAAATATCCTTCTTTGAATTTCTTCTACAATTTCCTATTTAAAAAAATATTGAAATATATTATTCCCACGTCATTTTCAATTATTGACACAATAATCGATTCAAAAGATTAAACGTTTCATTTAAGCAAATCCACTCTTTTTTATTTGTTATTCGATTTTTTTTCTCCTTAAACTGTCATCAAAATCATAGATAAAATTTGTACCATGATCTGTCTATTAAAGGATTTCCTGAGAAGAGACTAGAATTCCCACTAAATCGAATAGAGGAAATCGAATCAAGAAAACAAAAAAAATTGGATTTCCAACAACACCAAATAAAATACATTCAATATCGAACGCCATGCGTTCGCCGTTGAATTCGAAAAGTTTTGCTTCAATGATTCGGATATGGAGGTCTTTATAATATCAAATGACACACCTCAATTGGCATAATCACTCAAGTGGAGCCCATCATCATCATCATCATATGAATGGCTAGGAGGTACCATCCAAACTGTATATGTGAGTGAGTGTGCGTGTGTGTGTTTATTTGAAAATCACAATGCGTTACAATTTGTGTTTGCCTCAAATTCTATGACAACAAAATGTGGCATACATCGCGAAATAATTACCCAGAAAAAAATAAATAATTGTTGTTCTATTTGAAAAGAGGAGGAGAAGTAAATGACTATTTGATTTGCGATTTTTTATTCTATGGGATGGGTTTTTTGGGATGGAACTACATCACCAAATCCATATGAAAGCCAAACATGTCATTTGAAAAGCTCTCATGTAGAACTTTGCGACACACTGCCGTCTCAATTTGTCATAAGTGGCCCTTGTGTATGTTTTTTTATTTATATATCTTAACTGTCCTCCTCCCACTTATGCCATTCGATCAGGTTGTCTTCATTTCATATGCTTGTGCTGCGTTTTGTTCCGATGTCCTTGCGTTTCGCCTTCGCAATAGCATTCGAGTGTTACCAACTAATCAAATGTTATTAAATTTATATTTTGATTTCTGTTGAAATCCGAATCAGCGGGATAAGCGGGTAGGGAGTGCAGAAAAGGAAGAAACAAGTGAAAAAGCGTTAAGTTCGGCCCGGCCGAACTTTGAATACCCTCCACCATATATATACTGATAGGTACATGAAATGAAAATATAGGGAACATACCAAAAAGTGTACCTATACCGACTTTACTAAAAACGGATTATGTAAACCATAATACAAATTTCAGAAATTTTTAATAGATAATTATACCCTCAGCCTTATGGGTAATGAGGGTGTGTACACTTTAACACGGTGAAAATGTGCCTCATCGAAATATCGGTTCTACACCCCATGTTTCTTTGGACCAAATCCGTTTCAGAAAATTTAGATTTCATTCAAACTTTGCCCATCTTCTTCCAAATTTAGTTCAAATTCGAATATGGAGAATATCGGTCCACTCCTTCTGACACCTCCCACACGCGCTCAAGAACCGCACCGTTATATGGGAGCTATGCCTAAACATGGATCGATATATCCCATCTTCGAACTTGACCTGCCTGCAGACAAAAGACAAACGTATGCAAAATTTCAGCACCCTATCTCAATTCCTTCAGATGATTACAACAGACGTACGGACAAGAATTTTACCCTGATCAAGAATATATACTTTTTAGGGTCGGAAATGAATATTGCGATGAGTTACAAACGGAATGACAAAATTAATATACCCTCCAAACTATGGTGGAGGGTATACAAATGCAAAACAACATTTGATAATAATAAATATGGAGGTAGGATTGGAGATTTTCGGAATTATTTTAATGGTAAGATGAGATCGTGGATTTTAAAAAATATTTTTCTAGGGACTTGCGGAGTTAGTGCATCATTTCGCATCATTTAAGTATGATATCAGGTCATACATAGCTCTCGGAATTTTTAGAAAACATTTTTCGTGGTTAAGGAATGTAAGCTTGACAAGCTTTAAAGGAATATATTCAAAAACTATTTTTGAAGTACATCACAGAGTGAGTTTTTATAGAATATTTTTTAGAGATCGAAGCCAACTTTGAAATTAAAAAAAAAATATATTTCTTTAAAAAATCATGTTCAAGGACTTTTAATAGGCGCGTTTTTTTAATATTTTTAAAGGGACTTATTAAAATATTTTTCAAGGACTACTAAGAGGCGGGGATTTATCAAAAATATTTTTTAAGGACTATTAAGAGGTGTGGATTAATTAAAAATATTTCTCAAGGACTATTAAGAGGCGTGGATTTATTACAAATATATTTTAAGGACTATTAATAAGCGTGGATTGTTAAAAAAATTGAAGGACTATTAAGAAGTGTGGATTTATTCAAAATATTTTTCAAGGACTATTGTAGGCGTGCATTTTTTCAAAATATTTTCCAGAACTATTAATAGGCGTCGAGGTGTAAACAAATATTTTCAAGGACTATTAATAGGCGTGGAGGTATAAACAAATATTTTTCAAGGTCTTTTAATAGGCGTGGACGGTTTTTGTTACCCCAAATTCCCATACTCTCCCTCCTAGCAAATATCTCACAACTGGAAACATATAAATTGAAAGAAAAAAAGACTAAAAATGTGTATTTTTAAACGAATTGTGTATCTTTAAGATATTGATTTGAATGTATGCTGTTTTAAATTTTTTTCCTACTCTTCTTTGTCTTTTTTAAAAGGACACTTTTTACCCCCTATTTAAGATATTGAATAACAACATTAACAGAAAAAAACGAAATAACCAACAAACAGCATTCATTTGGATCGGCATCGAACATAGCACAAGACACAGTCGTCGACGACAGACGTCTGTGGCCAGTGAACAGCGGTTCGGTTGTGGGGAGTAGGGTAGGGCTGTAGGGAGTTTAAATGGAAGTGGAGTTGTTGTGTTGCGTTTTTTGCATTTTTATTGGCATTCGATTTTTATATTTTTCGCCCTTCTTGCGATGACGATTCGAATACACCGATGATGATATCAGGTGTCATTATGGGCCATTATTTGAGTCAATTTGAATTATAAACACTTCAGTGAAGAAGGACAACAATGTTGAATAACTATTGACAGACTCTAAATGTATTGTGGGGCAAATACATTTGCAAAATGAAAACAAGAAACAAAGAGAAATACAAAAAGAAACGAAATATTGAAATTAATAATATTTTTGTGGTCTCATTTTTAAGGCAAAGTTAATGTGTTTTTAAATGGCTTACACTCGAAGAAAGATGTTGGTTGAAAGAAAAAAATATGTTTCATTTAAATAAATTAGGAAATTGTGTAGATTCATTTTCCTATCATCCCATATCATAAGAAAACCCCTTTTGGATTTGTCAATACCCAAAAATTCTAAAAAATTTCCTAAAAATATGTACCTCCGAATGAAGATAAATTTACTTCTCTTTCCAATACCATGTCAATTGATATACGGATTGTTTCCTCTACCACCAAAAACAACAACAAAAAGAAGAATTGCAATTTACTATTCATTCGCCATACAATGTTGTTGTTGTGCTTCGGATTTAAAATGTAATCTTAATTCGTGCCGTATTGCAAATTACGATTGCTGTTGACCCCAAAAAAGGCCCAAAGGAACTATTTTTTATGCTTATCATGATGATGCCACCAAACAAATATGTAAATTTATGTGTATGTAGATATGTTTGTATGTATGTTGGCTTGTGTTTCTTTTAGGTGAACTTACCTCTTAACTTCCGTTCATCGACTAATTGCCTTTCTAATGAATCTTTGACTTCACGTTCGCGTAAAACATCCATTTTTAATTCAGCTGAAAGAAAAGAAAGAAGATAAAGAAATGAAATTTAATAGAAAACAGCAATGAAAGAGGATTCGAAAAATAGAAAACTGGACAAGGGCTCATACAAGGACTTGTTTTTTTAATATTTTTAAGAATTCATAATATGCATAGATTTAAAAATATATTTTTTCAAGGACCTATTCAAGGCGTGGACTATCAACAGGCGTGGATTTTTTAAAAATATTTTTTTCAAGGACCTATACAAGGCGTGGACTATCAACAGGCGTGGATTTTTAAAAAAATATTTTTTCAAGGACCTATACAAGGCGTGGACTATCAACAGCCGTGGATTTTTTAAAAATATTTTTTCAAAAACCTATACAAGGCGTGGACTATCAACAGGCGTGGATTTTTTAAAAATATTGTTTCAAGGGCCAATACAAGGCGTGGACTATCAACAGGCGTGGATTTTTAAAAAATATTTTTTCAAGTACCTATACAAGGCGTGGACTATCAACAGGCGTGGGTTTTTTAAAAATATTTTTTCAAGTACCTATACAAGGCGTGGACTATCAACAGGCGTGGATTTTTTAAAAATATTTTTTCAAGTACCTATACAAGGCGTGGATTTTTAAAAAAATATTTTTTCAAGTACCTATACAAGGCGTGGATTTTTAAAAAAATATTTTTTCAAGGACCTATACAAGGCGTGGACTATCAACAGGCGTGGATTTTTTAAAAATATTTTTTCAAGGGCCAATACAAGGCGTGGACTATCAACAGGCGTGGATTTTTTAAAAATATTTTTTCAAGGGCCACTACAAGGCGTGGGCTATCAACAGGCGTGGATTTTTTAAAAATATTGTTTCAAGGGCCAATACAAGGCGTGGAGTATCAACAGACGTGGATTTTTTAAAAATATTTTTTCAAGGGCCAATACATGGCGTGGACTATCAACAGGCGTGGATTTTTTAAAAATATTGTTTCAAGGGCCAATACAAGGCGTGGACTATCAATAGGCGTGGATTTTTAAAGAATATTTTTTGAAGGACCCAAACAAGGCGTGGATTTTTTAAAGAATATTTTTTCAAGGGCCACTACAAGGCGTGGGCTATCAACAGGCGTGGATTTTTTTAAAATATTGTTTCAAGGGCCAATACAAGGCGTGGACTATCAATAGGCGTGGATTTTTAAAGAATATTTTTTGAAGGACCCAAACAAGGCGAGGATTTTTTAAAAATATTTTTTCAAGGGCCACTACAAGGCGTGGGCTATCAACAGTCGTGGATTTTTTAAAAATATTGTTTCAAGGGCCAATACAAGGCGTGGAGTATCAACAGACGTGGATTTTTTAAAAATATTTTTTCAAGGGCCAATACAAGGCGTGGACTATCAACAGGCGTGGATTTTTTAAAAATATTGTTTCAAGGGCCAATACAAGGCGTGGACTATCAACAGGCGTGGATTTTTTAAAAATATTGTTTCAAGGGCCAATACAAGGCGTGGACTATCAATAGGCGTGGATTTTTAAAGAATATTTTTTCAAGGACCTATACAAGGCGTGGACTATCAACAGGCGTGGATTTTTTAAAAATATTTTTTCAAGTACCTATACAAGGCGTGGACTATCAACAGGCGTGGATTTTTTAAAAATATTTTTTCAAGTACCTATACAAGGCGTGGACTATCAACAGGCGTGGATTTTTTAAAAATATTTTTTCAAGTACCTATACAAGGCGTGGACTATCAACAGGCGTGGGTTTTTTAAAAATATTTTTTCAAGTACCTATACAAGGCGTGGACTATCAACAGGCGTGGATTTTTTAAAAATATTTTTTCAAGTACCTATACAAGGCGTGGATTTTTAAAAAAATATTTTTTCAAGGGCCAATACAAGGCGTGGACTATCAACAGGCGTGGATTTTTTAACAATATTGTTTCAAGGGCCAATACAAGGCGTGGACTATCAATAGGCGTGGATTTTTAAAGAATATTTTTTGAAGGACCCAAACAAGGCGTGGATTTTTTAAAGACTATTTTTTCAAGGACCCAAACAAGGCGTGGATTTTTTAAAGACTATTTTTTCAAGGACCCAAACAAGGCGTGGATTTTTTAAAGAATATTTTTTAAGGACCCAAACAAGGCGTGGAATTTTTAAAGAATATTTTTTAAGGACCCAAACAAGGCGTGGAATTTTTAAAGAATATTTTTTCAAGGACCCAAACAAGGCGTGGAATTTTTAAAGAATATTTTTTAAGGAGCCAAACAAGGCGTGGATTTTTTAAAGAATATTTTTTAAGGAGCCAATCAAGGGTGTGGATTTTTTAAAGAATATTTTTTCAAGGACCCAAACAAGGGTGTGGATTTTTTAAAGAATATTTTTTCAGGGACCTATACAAGGCGTGGATTTTTTAAAGAATATTTTTTCAGGGACCTATAAAAGGCGTGGATTTTTTAAAGAATATTTTTTCAGGGACCTATAAAAGGCGTGGATTTTTTAAAGAATATTTTTTCAGGGACCTATAAAAGGCGTGGATTTTTTAAAGAATATTTTTTCAGGGTTTAATTTCTTTCTTTCAAATACTATAAAACTGGGCTATGTGACCTTACCTTTCTCATAAGTAATCTGCCTCTCCTGTTGCCTTGCATTATCTGCCGCCACCTTCAGCAAACTTTGTATATTTCTCAGCAATGTTTCTGTAGAAGACGGTAGCCCCGGATCCATTGCCAAGGGTCCCAGCGATAGACCACCTGCAGCCAAGGCGGCTGCAGCAGATGTAGCATCAGCTGTTGCCATTTGCAAAGCTTCATTGGGTGTTAGAGCACCACCTGCCCCACCTACACTATTTGAACCAGGCACCACGCCAGTGGGACCATTCACTGCACCATTTGCCGCCGCTGCTGCTGCTGCCAACTGTGAATAATTCAGGGCCCTCTGATGTTGCAATACTGCCACGGCAGCAGCCTGATGTGATGGTGAACTATGTTGTAAAGCAGGATGTGTAGAATCGCGATCAGAAATGGAAATACGTTCAACACTGCTACCGCTGCCGCCGCCGCTACCGCCACCACCAGCTGCTGAGGCTGACATTGAAGCGGCTGAGGCGGGCATATTGTGTTGCAGATGATGATGAGGATGGCGTTGGGTGGAGGAGGTGGTGGAAATGTTATCACGTTCAACATCACTTAAATCTGGAAATGGAAAGGGAAAAGAAGAAGAATATTTTTTTAAAATATATTTTTAATAGAAAAAAATTGATTTCAATTTTATTTTAATTTTTTTTAATATTTAAACATTTTTTTTTAAATAGTTTTTTTATTATTTTTTATATTTTTGAACTCTTTTGAATATTTTTTTGTAATTTTTTAATAATTTTTAATATTCCCTCCCCCCTATTACCTTCTTCATCTTTAACCATACGATCATCGACATCGGACACATTATCATCACTCATATTTTCAATATCTTCATCGTCCAAATTACGATCATTCACCCCGCCGCCGTCATTAGCACTGCGTCCACTGGCCCGTTCTATGCTATCGTCTCGCACCGAATGGGCCGGCGAATGCATATCACTGCGTTCACTACGCTCATCACAATTGCTACCCTGATCTGTATTACCGCCGGATTTGGAGAGATTTAACACAGGACTTTGACGATTGGGTGAACCTGAAAAAATCAAACAAAACAAAAGACCTCCTCCTTAGAAAAATATCCTTCCAAGGTAAAAATAAACTTCTTCGAAACTTACAATTACGTGAACTTAAATCTCTGGGTTTGGGCTCCACATTACCCATACCACTGGAAGCTGAACCACCACCCATTTGTTGACGTTCATCGGTGCGTTCTTCACGAAGTCTGAAAGGAGAGAAAAACAGAACAAAAATTGGATATTAAAATTGAAAATTTAATATTTTTAGAGGTTAGAAAAAGAGGTTTTTCAGTTTCCTTACCTTTCCAAATGCTTGACGATATCTTCATAGGCCGCTCGACAATTCTCCCATATACCCGAACGAGCCAAGGCATCCATATTTGCCGCTGACATACCACTTTGGGCAGCTGCCTTCAACATTTGACTATCGGGCCGTGTGTGCAACCCATGTGGTGGCATACCGGGTGACATTAGGGCCGAACCAGGGTGATGATTCATCTGCATAAATGCCATGTGATTAATGGGCGGGGGATTATAACCATTTGCTAAGAGTGGCGATTTCATATCTGGAAGAAGAAAAAAATAAAAATTGGAATTATCCTGAGTAAAAATCTTCATTAGGGAGTGTGTATTTAAAAAAATTCAAGTACGCAAGAAAGACGTGAGCATGAGCAAATCGAGATGTACAGGAGTCAGAATGAAGTCCGAAAATTCTACCAACCGGTAAAATACCAAACCGAAGGCTTTGTTGCAGGCACATCCTCCTGTAGAGATGGAGAAGGAAACCTGGTGACAGATACAGACAGCGTGTTGAGGATCTGGAAGGAGCATTTTGAAAAACTTCTGGTATCAAATAGTAGCAGTGAAGTGGATACCCCAGAACCAATAATAGATGACGGCATAGAGTGTATGTCTGAATAGCAATCAATAGGCTGAAGAATAATAAAGCAGCAGGTTCCGATGGTTTACAAGCCGAACTATTCAAGATTGGTGGTCAGATGCTGGTAAGGAGCATGCACCAGCTGATTAGTACAATTTGGCTAGAAGAATGCATGCCCAATGATTAGAACCTCAGCATCCTGTGCCCCGTGCGCAAAAAAGGAGACAAGACGATATATGCCACCCTTAGAGGAATAAGTCTCCTTCTCATCGCATATAAAGTGCTATCCAGCGTACTGTGTGAACGACTGAAGCCAATGGTCAATGACACTATTGGACCATACCAATGCGGCTTCAGACCAGGAAAATCCACCATTGACCAAATTTTCACTCTGCGCCAAATCCTGGAAAAAACCCACTAAAAACACATCGTCACATTCCACCTATTCGTCGACTATAAAGCCGCATTCGACAGCCCTATATCCGTTTAGAGGTGTATAAAGCCATGTCTACGTTCGGCATTCCTGCAAAATTAATTCGGCTATGTAGGATAACTTTAACAGGCACAAGATCATCAGTTAAAGTCGGAAATGACCTCTCGGAGCCCATTAGTACCGAACGAGGATTCAGACAAGGTGATAGTTTGTTGTGTGACATTTTTAACATCCTGCTGGAAAAGGTCATACGAGAGGCAAAGGTGAACAGAAATGACACTCTGTACACTAAACAACACATGTTACTCACCTACGCCGATGACATCGACATAATGGGTCGAACATTGAGAGCGGTAACAGCCACCTTTGAACAAATTGAAAAGGAGTCTGCCAAAGTGGGTTTGGCAGTAAACGGCGAGAAGACCAAGCTGATGGTATCAACGCGCAAGACGTCCAGTAGACTCGGACCAACTGTGGAACTTGAGCACTACTGCTTTGAGGTAGTCAAAGATTTTGTATACCTTGGTACCCTCGTAAATAAAACGAATGACATCAGTTTTGAAATTCGGAAATTCGGAGAAGGATAGTGATGACCAACCGATGCTACTATGGCCACCTCCCGCCAGACCAAACTCACACTCCACAAGACTCTGATACTACCCGTGCCATTATAAGGATCTGAAGCATGGGTACTTGCGCAAGCAGATAAGGCAGCTCTTGTAGTGTTTGAGAGAAAAATTCTCCGAAAGATCTATGCAACGATCTGCGTTGACGGTAAATATCGCTTTTTATTAATTTCTCTTTCTAGATGAACTACATGATCCGAGTTGCAATGAAACGGAAAGCAAGAGAGATCCTACATTCCCACCACTATGCGACGCGTTTCGCCGTTGGTTAAGCGGCTCATCAGGCATATTGGGCAATGTGGCTTACAAATGTCTATTGTTGCGAAATTGCATCTACGAATGAAATTCAACCGTGTCAAGGTTCGGACATTTGGCATCACACCAGAACATTCCTTTTCAGAACAGATTTTTTCGCCTTCGAATGAACCATGAGTTTTTTGACGTATTGAGCTACAGCGACTACGTTGGCTAGGTCATGTTGTGAGAATGGATGAAGATGCCCTAGCCCAGAAGGCATATAAAAGCGAACCAGCTGATGGTTCACGCAGAAGGGGAAGACAAAGAATACGATGGAAAGATCAAGTTGAAGACAACATCGCCGAAAATGGTCTTCCACATTGGAAAAACGGCACAAAAGACCGACGCGCCTGGAAATCTTTTCTAAGCTCGGCTTATGGAACGAAAGTTCTGTCACAAGACAAGGCGTGGATTTTTTAAAAAATATTTTTGTAGTGACCTTTACAAGGCGCTGATTTAAAAAAAGGATCAATACAAGGTGTGGGTTTTTTGGAGAATATAAAGAATAATTTTTGGGGACCTACACAAGGCATACATTTTTAAAGAATATTTTTGGGGACCTATACAAGGCATGGATTTTTTTTAAAAAAGGTGTGGATATTAAAAAAATATATTTGCTTGCATCTACCAAATGTCTTATTTATTTCTATTCCCAAGGCTGTTAGACAAAATAATAATTAGCCTGTGTTTTCAAGCTAACCCAAAGGGGTCTAATTTTAGGCTCTCACAAAACCAGTATTTGGGAAAATCGCCATTCCCTCAATTTAACTCTCCTCACATGAATGCTAATTGCAGTTGTACGATTGTATGCCAGAGCAATCATCAGCATCAATTGTAACATAACCTACAATTGTCGTTACAACAACAACAAATAGACCAAAACAAACGAATGCAGGAAAAATACGTAGAAAAATCACAGCCCGGAAAGAAAATGAAATTTATGTTGTCTTTTCTGCACGATTCCTACTGGATATAATTTCATTTAAGGTTTGTTTTCTTCTTCTTCGACTTCGTCTGTGATTTGTTAATGCGAATTCGTTTTGTTGCCCCCATTTCGCCCTCTTGTCACCCTCTCTTCACAATCGGAGAATAAATAATAATGGTCGGTCATATACATTCGAAATGTTGTAGAGCAGCAGCGGGTCTTTTTCTTATGATAGACTTCAATATGAATTATCATTGCTGCATTGCCAAAGAACAACAACAATAGCAACAACAAAATAACATTCGTTGAAATATGAAACCAACTTTGGCTAAATTATTGGCCATTGGAAACCAAAAACCGGGCAAATCATTCAACCATGTTTAAATGATGTTTATGATTGTTGCAACCGAATGCTGGAGTTGCTGTTGTTGTTCGATTGTTGCAGCTTGGTTTGATCTGTGGAGGCATTCAATTTTTTTGTTTCATTTCGATAATGCCTGGGTTTTGGATTCGTTTTCAATGATGATTCGATTTCAGTTCGTATTCGTATATTTGTTTGTTTGCCGGATTGACTGTCTATTTGGATGATGGTTTCTTGAGAAACCCAGAAGCTGATGTTTTGTAGAGGAAGGCTAAGAAGCTTTAAGTAACTTATTTTTGCTATTCAGGAAATTGTGAATTTGGTATTGATTTTTCAATACACCAACAAATCCGTACAGGGCCCTAAATGAATTATTTCATTTAGGATTCAAATTCCGAATTTTATTGCAAAGTGTGTCAAACCCTCCAAAAAACACAACCATAGATAATTTCCATTGGTAATTAAATCGAAAACATTTCGATAAGAACTCCTATTCGTTGTCACTACTGACACACCACCACCGGCATTCATCGCCACCACCAGCAGAACCGACCGACCAAACCACCAATTCCAACCATATTTTTGCGGTTTCGAAATAAAAATGACCCCTAACAAAAATTACTGCGCAACATTTCCCAAAATGAAAGCTCCCGCCCTACACACACTCACCGAACAAAGCACACAAAAAAACCAACAACACTCAAATATTTAGCCCAAAGGAAACAACAAAAGCAGCACAACACGCATGTCTCAAATTAGCAGCAGCAATAACAACAACAAAAACATTCAGATACAAATAAATATATGTATATGCGGAGGGGCTGTAACCCTGAATTAACACAAATGTCAACGAAAATTGTTTTTAAATGAAAATTATAAATTGTTTAAATATTAAAAAAGCAGCAACAACAACAATAATAAAATAATAAATGGAAATTACAAAAAGTTTCATGTTCGGGTTAATTACACAGTGGTACATGAAATGTCGAGGACATGTCGATTTACACAAAAATAAAAAACGTGGATTTTTAAACAAAAATTTTTCAAGGATTTTTTAAAGAATATTTTTGAAAGGGATACAACCACACAAGGCGTGGATTTTTTAAAGAATATTTTTGAAAGGGATACAACCACACAAGGCGTGGATTTTTTAAAGAATATTTTTGAAAGGGATACAACCACACAAGGCGTGGATTTTTTAAAGAATATTTTTGAAAGGGATACAACCACACAAGGCGTGGATTTTTTAAAGAATATTTTTGAAAGGGATACAACCACACAAGGCGTGGATTTTTTAAAGAATATTTTTGAAAGGGATACAACCACACAAGGCGTGGATTTTTTAAAGAATATTTTTGAAAGGGATACAACCACACAAGGCGTGGATTTTTTAAAGAATATTTTTGAAAGGGATACAACCACACAAGGCGTGGATTTTTTAAAGAATATTTTTGAAAGGGATACAACCACACAAGGCGTGGATTTTTTAAAGAATATTTTTGAAAGGGATACAACCACACAAGGCGTGGATTTTTTAAAGAATATTTTTGAAAGGGATACAACCACACAAGGCGTGGATTTTTTAAAGAATATTTTTGAAAGGGATACAACCACACAAGGCGTGGATTTTTTAAAGAATATTTTTGAAAGGGATACAACCACACAAGGCGTGGATTTTTTAAAGAATATTTTTGAAAGGGATACAACCACACAAGGCGTGGATTTTTTAAAGAATATTTTTGAAAGGGATACAACCACACAAGGCGTGGATTTTTTAAAGAATATTTTTGAAAGGGATACAACCACACAAGGCGTGGATTTTTTAAAGAATATTTTTGAAAGGGATACAACCACACAAGGCGTGGATTTTTTAAAGAATATTTTTGAAAGGGATACAACCACACAAGGCGTGGATTTTTTAAAGAATATTTTTGAAAGGGATACAACCACACAAGGCGTGGATTTTTTAAAGAATATTTTTGAAAGGGATACAACCACACAAGGCGTGGATTTTTTAAAGAATATTTTTGAAAGGGATACAACC